GGGGTCACTGACATCCCCAAAAACACTAATACAGTGATCAGTGCAAAAAAAAAAAATCACTGACACTGTACTAATGGCACTGGGGAGGAAGGAGTTAAGTTTATTTTGTAGGGAAGGGTTATAGGAATGAGGGGAGTGTTTTACTAGGGGGCGGGGGTGTGTACTGGGCGGGACAAGGCTGATCGAGAAAGAGAAACTGTTCTTTCTCGATCAGCTCATCCTCGAGCTGAGAAGGAAGTGACAGACAGCACAGCTACTGCAGCTGTGCTCTCTGTCACTGTTTGCCGCCGATCGCCGGGACATAGCCGCTAAGGAGCGGCTGTGACCCTGCGACTGACATCTGCGGCGGTGATCGGCGGGACAAATAGGGCGGCGGCGCGCCTCGCGCGCGCCCCCTATTTGTTTACAAAACACACGTCTTAAAACGTGGTTTTGCCTGTGAGTGCTGCCCTGCCGCCGTATATGTATAGTGGCAAGGCGGCAAATGGTTAACAACCGTTAATTGCCAGAATTCTTTTGTTTACATAAAGGTATCTGCTTCAGGTATCGGAGTACCGATACTCTCGCAAATGCCTCCTATCGGCACTGTTACCAGTATCGGTATTGGTATCGGTGCAACCCTCCTAGAAATCATACCAACAAAGGAAAGCAGTGATTCCAGACTAGTAATTCAATGAGGATGCCCAAAATTAAGGACAATCCACCTAAGATGTGTTTCTGTTTTTGGTAAATGCATTAGAGTTAAATTAGTTTCTTATATCTCTTGGGAATTCTGGCAGTAATATCATACAGTGCTTAGTATAAGTACATCCCTTTTGAAAAGGAAGATTTTAAGCAATATCTCAATGAACACAAGAACAATTTTCTAAATTTTGGCAAAACTAAGTTTTACAGAACATTTGTTTAGCTCATTACATTAAAGGTTAATACTATAACTTAGATTACAAAATCTTCAGTTTTACTCAAATTAGTTGATGCAAAAATGAATACACCCCACAACAAAAACTACTACATCTAGTATTTTGTATGACCTCCATGATTTGTAAGGACAGCATCAAGTCTTCTAGGCATGAATGAACAAGCTGGCAACATATTGCAGCATCCCTCTTTTTCCATTCTTCCAGAACAACCTCTTTTAGAGCCTGAATGCTGGATGGAAAGTGGTGCTTAACTTGTCTCTTCAGAATTCCCCATAGATGTTCGATTAGGTTCAGATCAGGAGACATACTTGGCTGCTGAATCACTTTCACCCTGTTCTTCTACAGAAATGCAACAGTGGCCTTACATTTGTGTTTTGGATCATTGTCATGTTGGAAAAGTGCATGATGACCAAGGGCACGGAGTGATGGTAGCATCTTCTCTTTCAATATAGAGCAGTACATTTGTGAATTCATCATCATCAAGAGAGCTTGACTATGCTCCAGCAGCACTGATGCAGGCCTACATAAGGACACTGCCACCACCATGTTTTACTGTAGGCACCATGCATCTTTCTTTGTACTCCTCACCTTTGTAACGCCAGACAGTTTTGAAGCCACCAGTTCCAAAAACATTTATCTCGGTCTCATCACTCTAGAGATTCCCAGTAGTCTTCTTCTATTTCAGCATGGGCCCTGGCAAATTCTAGGCTTTTTTGTGCATGGGCTTTCGGAGAGGCTTCCTTCATGGATGACACCCATACATGCCATTCCTCTGCAGTGTATGCCGTATCGTGTCACGGAAAAACCACCACCCCAGTTTGGCTCTCTTTTTTATCTAACTGCAGTGACCTTGCATGGTGATTTTCTTCAACCCTTCTCATCAGAAGACGCTCCTGTCAAGGTGTTAACTGCTGTGGATCACCTGGACGTCTCTGTGAGATGATTGCCGTTCCACCTTTGTTAAATTTTGGTATCATTTTTGCTACAGTATTCGGATTGTTAAGTAAAGCTTTGCTGACCTTCTTGTAGCCTTCATCTTTCTTGTGTAAAGAAATGATTGTCTTTCTCAGGCCTTATGAAATTCTCCTGCAATGTAGTGCCATCACTGACAGCATGAAATGGGAAGGGGTTTTGTTTGTTAGATAACGCCCTTCTATAATCATGAGAGTATAAAAAATACAGTGAGCGGCGTAGTGTCAATGGCGTAGTGTCAATGGCGTCCTGGGCTCCACCGTGGAGCCCAGGACGCCATTGACACTACGCCGCCAGTGCCACGTGGAGGCCCGGTGGCCATCTTTAATCTTAAAGGGTCAGTCATTTGATTAAACCTGGCACCATTGTGAGTTTTTTCTGAACACTCCTGTTTTTCTTGAATAAAATCATTTTCATCAACCTACTACACTATGGGCTCTTTCCTGTGTCTTCTGCGATGAGCCTTTTCAGCTTCTGCAGACCCAGATTGATCCCTGCACCAGCCTTTGAGAGGAGGAATTTTCCACTTCACACACTTCTGTAAGGATTTTTGTGACCTGCTGGACCTCCATTTCGCCACGCGAAGGCGCTTCATCTCTACTATCTCCAGCTCCTGCCCATTACCAGACCAGAAAAGGAGAGGGGAATCTCCATGATATCATATACACATGCGTATTATTAATACGCTTCTGGTTAGTGCGCAATTTCTAACTTTTGCACTGGGAATCAGCGAGCACCATTACTGGACTGTGATTTATTTATTTATTGATTTATTTATTAATTTATTCATTTGCTTTGGGTTCATTTATTATTTATATCTGCCCGCAATATAGTAACATCACACAGCCCTTTTATAATCAACTGTCTGCTGGACACCTGTTTAATGAATAATTGAATTCTTGTTAATTAGGATTTAGTTGTATAAAATCTAGCTTTGCTCCTAAGACTTTGATTGGGGTTTATCCATTTTTGCAACATGGTTTTGAATGAATTTGTTAAAATAAAAATACTTTTTTGTGTGTGTGCAAATTAACAAATATTATTTGCAATCAATGGCTCCCACTTGCGGAAGTATTTTGTAGTATAGTGTCCCATTGAAAATGTTAATTATGAAATTAAAGTAAAGGTTTTCTGACAAATCTGGTGGGGTGTACTCATTTATGCGGAGCGCTGTATATAACAGCTAGCAGAAATCCACTATTCATTTTGAATGTCTCAAAACTATAAGCTGGAGAGCCCATATCACACAGGAAGCCAGTAGGTGACCATAACTGAAATAGCGTTGGCGCTTCATTTAACAGTTGATATATTACCCATAATTATTTGTTATTGTTATTTTCAAAATATTCAGTTTTTTGCATTCAAAATGAATCTACATGCAGATGTTTAGAAAGCTATTTTGATGTGAAAATTGCTGTGAGCTTTGTAGGAGTGCAGCGCTATGGCCAAATCTCACTGGCTCTATGCACTTGAACAGGTTCCAAAAACTGAGTTGCTGATGAGAAGCAATACTTCTATAACTTACATTCCTAAACCTTAATGAAAAAACAGTCAGTACAAAAGGACATAACATGCAGTCAGTAGGATATGTCCTATGTGCTGATGCCTCTTCCTTTAGGCAAAGCCCTCCTGTATCTATGCCCCCTCCACCATCACTGTAGTATAGTGACGTTAATAGATTTAAGGGGCTGTCACAGACTCTCATCAAGAGAGCTTGACTATGCCCACCCTATCTACCTAGTCTTTGTCAAGGTCCTACCTTTCCTCAGAGTTGGTGTTGCTCCATGTGCTGGCATCCACCTTAGGTTTCTGCAAAGCATGGTGGGAGCCTTTTATGCTTTCAGGCCTCTGCGGCCCCTCCTCCAGAGGGGTGTGGTTGATCACATTTAAGCCTGTTGTCTGCACTTGCTCTTTGCATTCGTGTCCTGTATGATTGTGTTGCAGCAAGCTCTTGTTCTACTCTCCTGGAAACCGACTCTGCTTGACTAAGACTATTCTTTGCCTTATCCCTTCATCTGACCTCCTGTTGCTGAACCCGGCTCGTGACCTGTGTATTCTTGCCTACCGTCTTGTACTGTTTGTCCCGCTGTTATCGACCCGGCCTGTCCGACTACGCTATCGTTTCCCATCTGGTTCCCACCAGCTATACGCCGTTGGCGGCGGCCATTACCGCAGCTGGGGTTACTCGGGGGCCGCGACCTGGTCCCTGGCTGCGTCAAGTCCATCCCCACCATCAGGGGCCCTGGTGAAAGGCAGCCTGGGGCTTAGACTCCGCGCCCTGAGGGACTCCAGTCTGTGGGTGGTAGTTGTCGTCAGTCGGTGCGTGACCCTGCCATTAGACCTGCCTGTCCATTCCACCGCTCCTGCCCTGACAGCCTTGCCATTCATAGAAGCTATACTACAGTTTCTATGAAAGGAAAGTGATCTATGAATTTAGGATGGGCAGATACCCAGTTTCATTCAGAGAAGCTGTAGTGTGGCCCATCTCCTCCTCAGCCTTATAAAATAAAGAGGTAGTACACCAGAAGAATACATGCCCACAAGCAGGCAGGGACTGCACATTACAGGGAAATCCACCTTAACCAAGCAAAATCTCATCAGCAGATCCAAACTTCCGCTGGTTTCTGACACCTGAAAACAGCAGTCACATAACCTCACTGAACCGCCTATGTCCCAGCAGAGCCACTGACTGGCAGCCCCTGCCTAAACACCACTCTTCAACAGTGAGTGCATGTGCCCTGTGACTGTTTGGGTCTTGGCAGCTGGAGGAAACCTGGATCCACTGGCAGGTAAGTATCATACACGTTTTCTTACCAGATAAGAAAGTAGGACAGCCAGGGGTGTAAAAACTGGGGAAAATGTCACATTTTTTAATCAGTCTAAACAAAAAAGAGTCAGGTACCAGATAAATGTACGAAAATTAAAGTGAATGAATGAGAAATAATGCTTTATTTAATACACAGTAGAATGTAACAAGAAACAGCTGGCATTTTTTGGTTATTATCATTATTCAGGATTTACCGTATTTACCGGTGGAAATACCGGACCGGCCGCTCCATATTCGCTCCATAAGACGCACTTTTTTCCCCCAAAAAAAGGGGGGGAAATGTCAGTGCATCTTATGGAGCAAATATGGAGCGGCCGGTCCAGTATTTCCACCGCCGCCATGTCAGAATACCGGGCCAGCCGCTCAGCTCTGCAGCGAGACCTTATGGAGATGACTGCTGACCTTTGGGGAGGGGGTACCTGAATTTGACAGGTACCCGCTCTTACTTCCGCGGAGTTGTTCTTTGACCTTACCTGTTCCTCTACCCAGCGGCGCGCTGTCTTCCCGGCTTCTGTAGTGTGGGCGCTCGGCATGACAGCCGGGTGCCAAGTGCGCATGCGCAAGAAGCGGTGCTTTTTGTGAATGGTAAGGCGGTACCTGGGACACATGACAGATCCCAGAAGCTGCCGGACCAATCACAAAGCGCAAGTGCTTCTCGCTCATGCGCACTGGGCATCCGGCTGTCATGCCGAGCGCCGACACTACAGAAGCCGGGAAGACAGCGCGCGGCTGGATAGAGGAACAGGTAAGATCAAAGAACAACTCCGCGGAAGTAAGAGCGGGTACCTGTCAAATTCAGGTACCCACTCCCCCCCCCCTCCCCAAAGGTCAGCAGTCATCTCCTGTACTGTCCGCAGTCTCTGGTCATCTCCTGTACTGTCCGCAGTCTCTGGTCATCTCCTGTGCTGTCCGCAGTCTCTGGTCATCCCTGTGCTGTCCGCAGTCTCTGGTCATCCCTGTACTGTCCGCAGTCTCTGGTCATTCCTGTGCTGTCCGCAGTCTCTGGTCATCTCCTGTACTATGTCCGCAGTCTCTGGTCATCTCCTGTACTGTCCGCAGTCTCTGGTCATCCCTGTACTGTCCGCAGTCTCTGGTCATCCCTGTGCTGTCCGCAGTCTCTGGTCATCTCCTGTACTGTGTCTGCAGTCCATTAGTTCAGAATTTTTTTTTCCTGTTTTCTGCCTCTAAAACCTAGGTGCGTCTTATGGAGCGAAAAATACGGTATATAGCACCAACAGTTTGCGCAGCGCTTTACAAAATGAAGGTAGACAGTACAGTTACAATACAATTGGTACAAGAGGAAACAGAGGGCCCGGCTCGTTAGAACTTAGGTTATGTGGCCACTTTTAGACATTAAAAGCAAATGCCATTGAAATGAATGTCATCTTTTCAATAAATCGACTCATCAATGAATGGAAAATAGTAATTACTGTTTTTTTTTACATTCATCAAGAAAAGTTAATGAATCCAAGACTGGGTCTATTATTTTAAAGTTGCGCCATTCTTTCCTGATACATTTAAATAAACAGGCTAAAACCACTTCTTAAATTGCCCCTAGGGACACTGCATGCTGATAATCTGGTAGTCAGAGATGTGAACTCATGCAGAAAACAGCAACTGAATACCAGAAAAAAAGAGAAAAAACAAACAGGATGACGATTAGTAATACAGAAGTCCCATGCATTTGGCCAGATGGTTCAACTTAAACAAGAACAGTGGGAATCTGACTGTAAGGAATGTGCGAGAGATGTTTAAGAAAGATGTGTACACCTTTATAAAATGCTAAGGACATATAAACATACAACCTTCCTGCTTCAAAATAAGGGATATGGTTGGAATTTGGGGGATCATCATCTTATAACTTAAAGGACAAGTTAATTTTTGGTAAAAACTACATTCATCTACCCTCCCTAGTCTCCTAAACAAAACTAACCTAGAACTCCTCTGCCCAGTAGCTTACCTGGTATGGCTCCCTCTGCTGTTAACTTGCACCAGACTAAAGTAATCTTCAGCACTGTCTGCACCTCATCTGTAAGCAGGCCCAGACTGGCCATAACGCACACTGGGCATTTGTTCGGTGTGCCAGGGCTTCATGCCCCAGGCGCAGCTGGTGTAATGCGGAGGGAGGGGCATGAGTAGCTGATGGCTAGTGCTGGTCATCAAGCCGCTGCCCTGCTTCAGTCGCTGGCACCCATATCATCCCTTACCGCTTGTTGTGCTAGTCAAACATAGCCAATGATGCGCCCTATGAGAGAAGATGAGGAGGAACCTGGATGGATGACCATCTTTTTCCCCGGCATTGAGCCACGATCAATACACAGTCTGAGAATTGTATATGGAGGAAATGGCAGTGGACTTTAATCGATGACAGAAGAGTAAGGAGAGAAGGTATGGAGGGATGTGGAGGAGAACGATCATAGAGAGGTAGAGTAGGCATTAATAGAATAGAATGACTGTGATCAGAGAGGGAAATGGAGGTAGATAGAAGGGATGGGGAATGATTCAGAGAGATCACATCCCCCGGACGAAGCCACGTGACCCTGTGGCGCAACGCGTTGGGGAGGGGCATTGACGTCACCACGCACCCGACTCTTCGGAACGGCGAGTAAAGGCAGTGTGTGTCTGCACGCAGCTCAGGCTGGACACACAGTTTTTAATCAAAGCGCTTAACAAATTTATACTTTGTGAGTATGAATTTGGCACAAATAAATACTGATCCCTATATCAAAGATAAGGCACTATTTCTCTCTCTTTTCATCTTTGTCATCTCGAACCAGTCTGACCATTCTCATCTGACTTCTGACATCAACAAGGCTTTTTCGTCCACACAACTCACTGGATATTTTCTCTTTTTCGGACCATTCTCTGTAAACCCTAGAGATGGTTGTGCGTGAAAATCCCAGTAGATCAGCAGTTTCTGAAATATTCAGACCAGCCTGTCTGGCATCAACAACCATGCAACATTCAAGGTAACTTAAATCCCCTTTCTTCCCTATTCTGATACTCATTTTGAACTTCAGCAAGTTGTCTTCACCGCATCTAGATGACTAAATGCATTGAGTTGCTGCCATGTGATTGGCTGATGAGCAATTTGTGTTACCAAGCAATTTCACAGGTGTATATCCCCAAAGATATTGGTACACCCCTCAAAGTAATTGCATTTAGCTGTTCCAATCACCTTCATGGCCACAGGTGTAATGTGAAGCACCTAGGCATGCAGACTGCTTCTACAAACATTTTTGAAAGAATGGTTTGCTCTCAGGAGCTCAGTGAATTCAAGCGTGGTACTGTGCTACATTGCCACCTGTGCAATCAGTCCATCTGTGAAATGTCCTTGCTACTAAATATTCCACGGTCAGCTGTTAGTGGTATTATAACAAATTGGAAGCAACTGGGAACAACAGCAACTCAGCCACGAAGTTGTAGGCCACGTAAAAGCGAGGTCAGCACATGCTGAAGCGCACAGTGTGCAGAAATTGCCAACTGTCTGCAGAGTCAATAGCTAAAGACCTCCAAATTTCATGTGGCCTTCAGATTAGCACAACAACAGTGCTTCATGGAATGGGTTTCCATGGCCGAGCAGCGTCGGATGCAGTGGTGTAAAGCACCAAACTATGGCATTCCAGGTGTTGAGGCCTTGCAAGGCTCTGACAGCCACAGGCAAGACTCCCAGAAGCAGAGGCATGATAGGACTTGTAGTACTTCAGCAGCTGGAGGGCCATAGTTTAGCGACTCCTGCTCTAGAGCATTAGAGACATGTTCTTTGGAGTGACAAATCATGCTTTTTTGTCTGGCAATCTGATGGGTGTGTCTGGGTTTGGTGGTTGCCAGGAGAATGGTACTTGCCTGACTGCATTGTGCCAAGTGTAATATTTGGTGGAGGGGGGATTATGGTGTGGGGTTGTTTTTCAGGGGCTGGGCTTGGCCCCTAAGCTCCATTGAAGGGAACAAAGCAAGGTCCATAACGACATGGTTAAGCGAGTTTGGGGTAGAGGAACTTGGCTGGTCTGGACAGAGTCCTGAACTCAACCCGATAGAACACCTTTGGGATGAATTAGAGCGGGGACTGCAAGCCAGGAATTCTCGTCCAACATCAGTGCCTGACCTCACAAATGTGCTTCTGGAAGAATGGTCAAACATTCCCATAGACACCCTCCTAAACCTTGTGGACAGCCTTCCCAGAAGAGTTGAAGTTGTTATAGCTTCAAAGGGTGGGCCAACTCAATACTGAACCCTACGAACTAAGACTGGGGGGCCATTAAAGTTCATTGCGTGTAAAGGCAGGTATCCCAATACTTTTGGAAATTTAGACATCGAGAAGCCAGTAGGTGTCATTATTTGTAATTTGGTTACAAAAAAAAAAATCAAAATGGGAAGTTCAGTCTAAAATGCCCAGGCCTATTATTCTGTCCCAATCCAGGCCTGACAGTAAGCCCCTGCAGAGTTGCATGAGACTTTTCTCTAATTGTTTCTATGATCAGAGTACGGCTCCATGCAAGTTTATGTAAGGGTTTACTGGAGTGGCTTGGAAAAGGCAATCAGCAGAGGAGGCTGCTGTGATCGTTAGTACACAGCAATAATCCGAAATTACCGGAAGGGACAAACACGAACATTTTTGTCATACGATACCAGATCGTACAATTGTTGTTTAACCAATACAGCTTTGGTCCGAAAATACAATACAAATACGTTACAATACATAACATCACTTCTGAATGTTTATTCATTCGTAAGAGAATTTTCGTAACTTTAGCAATCTCTTCACTTTCAATATGAGACTAGCATGCAAAAAAAACAGACGATCATTCGTCCAATATTCTCAACATGTATACAGGGTTTAAGGAGAGTGGTCAAGGAAACTTATCCTTTACAGAAAAAAAATAAACTTCCTGCAAAAAATCCACAAATTACCATTTTTAATATAGGAATTGCAGGGTAATCAAAATAAAGATATGGGAAAGATACTTTCAACCAGTTGCCACCCGGCCTATAGCAAGATGGCGGCCAGGTGAACAGCTCGTCCCTCCGGGTGGACTCTATATGGCGTCCTTTCAGGAACGCGCATTGCGCATGCCCGCAGGGCAGATCTGTGTACCGGCCCCTTTGCCAGTACCATGTGACCTGCTGTGACCAATCACAGCAGGTCACATGACAGTTGTATACAATGGATGGCTTCCTTTCATGCCATCCATTGTATACAAGTGTGTCTAGCTGTGAATGGTAACAGCGATCATATGCACAAGCTGACCCAATCACAGCCCAGCTGTGTCATGTGATTAGCCATGGCCAAATCACAGCTAAGCACAAAAAAAAACCCTGAATTAATCCATTTCATTTAGGTAAATGCTTGCTTATAGCAAAGTAATTCTTTGCTGTAAGCAAATTGTGCAAAAAAAAAAAAAAATACTGATCACTCCCCAAAGTAGTACAATGTTACTATGGTAACATTATACTACTTTGGTCATAGTGAAATATGAAAAAAAATCTTAAAAAAAAGAGAAAAAAATGTAAATAAAAATTAAAAATAATTAAAAAAAAAATGTAAATTTTTTTTTCGTACTGTCACCAGTCAGTGTCCCTGATCACCGCCATGCCAGTTATATGATGACGCTGTACTGCACTGGTGACAGTATGTAAAAAAAAAAATAGT